CCCCCCTCCCATTTGGAAAAAGGAGGGAGGGGGGGGGTAGCTTCCGGAGCGGCAAAAAGGGGGGAGGGGGGGGGTAGCTTCCGGGGGGGGACCAAAAAGGGCGGGAGAGGGGGGGTAGCTTCCAGCAGGGGGGGCCCAAGGGGAGGGGGGGGTAGCTAAGGGGGGACCCCCTCCCCTTTGCGAGTTTCGCGCGCGCGCGCTTTCTCGGAGGATTCATATTGAAAGCCTGTGCAAAAGGATTCCTGTTGAAAGCCTCTACACAAGGATTCACGTTGAAAGCGTCTACAAAAAGGTTTATTGAAAGCCTCTACGAAAGGATTCCTATTGAAAGCATCTACAAAAGGTTTCCGATTGAAAGCAACTACAGAAGGATTCCTATTGAACGCCGCTGCAAAAGAATTCCGATTGAAAGCCTTAACAAAAAGGTTTCTTATTGAAAACCAACACAAAAGGATTTCTAGAGAAAGCACATACAAAAGGACTCCCAGTGAAAGCATCTACAAAAGGATGCCAATTGAAAGCCAATGCAAAAGGGTTCTAATTGAAAGCCAATGCCGAAGGATTCCTATTGAAAGCCTCTACAGACGGATTCCTATTGAAAGACGCTACAAGAGGATTCGAATGGAAAGCCTTTACAAAAGGATTCCGGTTGAAAGCCAATGCAAAAGGATTCATATTGAAAGCCTTTTACACAAGGATTTTCATTGAAAGCATATGCAAAAGGATGCCTGTTGAAAGGCAATACAAAAGGATTCCTCATGAAAGCATATACAAAAGGGTCCCTATTGAAAGTCACTGCAAAAGGATTCCTATTGAAAGCCGCTACACAAAGATTCCTATTGAAAGCCTCTACAACCTCCTCCTCCTCTTCCTCCTCCTCCCCCTTCCAGCGGAAGGCCATAACTCTTAGGAAAACGAGCAGGTAAACAAAACAAACCAAAGAAACTGAAGTGCTGGAGGCGGACACCTTAGAACAACTATTGGAGAAACAACCAAACCAAACAAACCAAAGGTTCCGCAGAGACTGCGGGGTTTTCCTTCGGGCTTATCCCTTCGGACGGTGTTCCCTGGATTTGTTCAATGGTTTTCCTAAAAATTTCGCTTCCAGCACTTCGGTTTTTTTTTGGTTGTTCCAATGATTGTCCCACAATTTGTGGTGTTCCCCACTGCCAGCATACGGAATGTATGTGTATCTCGCCCACACGACGACGAGGACGACAAGGACGAGGATGACGAGGAAGAGGACGAGGGCACGAGAGAGAGAGAGAGAGAGAGAAGAGCACAAGGGAACGCTCAAACAGCAAAGCACAACAGCAAAGCACAACAGCACCCCCAAACAAATGAACCACAACCCCCAAATCGTCCTGAAGCGTTTTAGGTGGACGGGAGTCCCTCCCCCAAAAAACTTTCGATTTCAGCAGGGGGGGAATAGGCCAGGACCCATGTATATATACAAATATGTAGAGAGAGAGAGAGAGAGAGAAAAAGAGAGAGAGAGAGAGAGAGGGAGGAGAGCGAGATAGGGAGAGAGAGAGAGAGAGAGAACAAAAAGAGAGCGACAAACAAATGCCCAGCCCGCCTCACGGGCCCTGGCGGCAGTCGCCAGTGGCAGGCGCGGCAGAGGCGGCAGCTGCGGCTGGCCTCAGAAGGCGGGGTCGATGGACATGATCGAGGTGTCCCTGTGAGTGGCCCTGCCACCACCCTATAAAAACACCACCAGGCCATGGAACATCCAGGTGATGACGACATGGTGTTTGACTACGTCGTGATGGGCACCATGGTAGTTCCCGACTCCGTAGTGCTCAACGTCTATGTGGTAGACACCGCAATGGTCTCCTTATGCCGCTCATTGGTGGATGATGCGGTTGTGCTGCTCGAGCCCATCGTTGTGCTTATCTTCTTGTCGCTGGTGCCCGTCACGCTTCTCCCTTTGAGGTTCCCCCGTACCCGTCGGGTCGCTCCTGCTGCAAGTAACCCGTGAACGGCCACATTCAAATGCAATGGGTGGCAGCGGGCAACTGGTGCCCGAAATGCTGCACAAAAATGTGTTGCTCGCCGCACGGCGTCGGAGGTGGAGTCGGAGCCGGAATTGGCACTTGTGACATACGGCTGGTGTTCGATGCGCTGTCCAAAGGTGATGCTCGTCGCACGAAGTCGGTACTGGCGTCGGCGTTGGTTTCAGTGTTGGCGTCGGTACTGCAGTCGGTGCTGGTGTGGACACTGCAATCGCAGCTGGTCGGCCGTAGTCGATGCTGGAGTCGGTGCTGGTGTCGGAGTCGATGCTAGTGTTGGTGATGTGGAGCTGCTCGACGCGGGATTGCTGGCGTTCGTCTTGCAGCTCCCTGGTGGGTGTCAAAATCGTGGTCCATCATTGTCTTCCTGGGAATTCTCATCAGCGGGCTGGAGTGCTGGGCGGCTCGCGTCGGTCAGGAATGGGGGCAAGATTTATCCGCCCAGGCCGGGTGCTCCATGCCAGGGTGAAAGTACCGAGTCTGGGGCAGATGCCTCCCCCCCCTCGTTTCCTCCACTTCTGGTCGAGAAGGAGGTTGCCGTACTGCTCAAGGGTCCCGTTGTGCTGCTCGTGGGACTCTTCCTCGTGGTACCCGTCGTACTATTATAACCGTCGTGCTGCTCGTGGAGCGGGCATGGTAATGAAGAACTGCCCGCATTTCCGCCCAAGATGTTCAGCGCCGTGTTGCTGGAACCGATCGTGGCGTTCAGCATCGTGCTGGTGTTGCCCGTCGTGCAAGGACCTCGGCGAAGGCGCAGACGTGTTGCCACCGTAGGCGAAGGTGCGGGTGCAGGTGTCGGTGCATGCACCAAAGCCGATGCATTTGGGAGCAGACGCTGAGGCTGGCGTAGGCGCTGTCGCTGGTGCCGGCGATAATCCTGGTGTGAGCCCTGGCCTTAGTGCCAGCATCTGTGCTGGCTTGGGTACTGGCGTCGACGCTGTCGTCGGTGCAAATGAAGGTCAGGCGTTGACGCCGCGTAGGTCATGGCGTTGGTGCAGGCGTCGGAGTTGATGCCGTGGAAAGCGTCAGACTGGGCTTCAGGTAGGGCGTCGGGCAGGGAGCCGGGTAGGGCGTCGGATAGTTAATTAGGGCGTTGGTTGGGCGTCGGGCGTTGCAACGAGCAATGCACGGAGAGTTCAAATGGGTTGCTCATCTCGCGCCAGGAGGAATGGAGGAGAAGAAGGAGGGATCAGGAGTAGCCATCCTCTGCAAGCCCATTCTGGGTCCAGGTCATGGCGGATGTGCGGCCTCCAGTCCTGGCATGGCTCGGCTACACACAAGAGTGACCCTAGACAGGGGTGACCTTTGGTGCGTGCGCAAGGCGCAACTATCGCATCGAATTCGGCGGTCGGGGACCCCAAAGGGCCCGCACCAAAGGTTACTCCGGCGAAAGGTCACTCTTACGTGTGGTCGGCAGAAGGTGCCCCCTAACTCAAAAGGGTCCCTGGCGTCTCCCGGCAGTTTTTGGAGCCCGCGGAGGGCCCCTCTATGAGCCTCGTGAGGGGCGCTGCCGGGAGGCCGCGAAAAGGGGCCACCTGGAAGTCCTGGGGACTCCAACGGCCAGGGCCACCTCTGGCAGAACCCCCGACGGGTGGCTGCTCCCCCCGCCCCCCGCGCGGTCCCCGTTCTTCAGCTCCACCAGGACTGGGCCTTGCGTGACACTGGCGACGGACGACGGACGACGGACGACGGCGACGGCGACGGCGACCAAGACGCGCAGGAACCTCGACCCTCGACGCCTTGATCCTCGAAGGCGATCCAGGCATCCGACAGCGTGGTCCTCTCAACCCGCGGTCACAAACCTCCCGGCCGCCTCTCACGGGCCAGCCTTCCGTCCTGGACCCCCCTCCTGCTGGCCCCGCGGACCGATCACAGCCCAAGGCGCCCGAGCGTCGCGAAAAAGCGCCAGGGCGGAAAAAGCCGATCCTCCGGACGACTGGGGAGGGCGGCGGCGGGCGGCGGCGGGCGGCGAGGCGGCGACGCCAAGGCCCTGCGTGGCGCCAGCCAGCACGCCCTGGGGCAGCACCATGGCGCCCCTCGGGGCCGCGGGGCCGCGGCCCCTGCCCGGCAGGCAGAGGGGTGCTCCTGGTGGGCTCCGGGCGGGCTGGAGCCTGGCACGGGGCCTGCGCGACGGGGCGCACGCCGGAGTCGCGGCCGACAGGGTGGCGCGGCCGTCGCGCGCCCACCGGTGGAGGGGGGAGGGGAGGGGGGAGGCTGCGAGCTGCCCGTGCGCAAAGCGACGCTGCCCGAAGGCAGGAGGTCTGCGAGATGTCCTGGGGATGGTGGGGATCGAACGGCGACTCAGATGTCCAGCAGTGTTTCGTTGCTCGTGCGTCTCTCTTTCTCTCCTTCCCTCTCTATGCAGAAGTACTGCTATATAGATATGCACGCGTTGTGTTGAATTCGCTATGTATACATATCGATGCATATTTGCAAGCTCTACGTGTAAGGTGTATAAGCACACATGTACATGTGTACACAGTCTCTACATACGATAAAGATGCAGGTGTGCATGCGTGTGTGTGTACACAGATGTCTGCCTTCTGCATCTTACTGTTTGAAGCGTTGGCGCTTGGGTTCGAGTCAGCAGACCCGCAAATATCTGCCCGCGACGAACAACTTGTTCTATATATGGGGTCGACAACTCCAAGGCCGACGTTGGCGAACACTGCGTCCTGGAAAACGAAAGATGGTGGACGAACGCAGTACAATTCGAAGGGATCAGCTGGTGGTGGACAGTGCCGAATGTGCGAGCGTGTCACAAACCTTGACACATGAAAAGTGAGGGGCCTAGTGCACGGAGGGAAAGTCACGGACACGGCATCACGAGTAGTGGTTGCGTACAAAGCTAACAGACGGAACTGGGAGCGTTGTCAGTGCGCAGAGAAGCACCAACACGTATTCATACGTAGTGGATCAATGGCCAGAACAATGTATGATGGGCCATAGCATGGGCAGCATGTCATGTGCAACAGCCGCTATCTGCTCTTTTTGTGCCGGCAGCGGTACGAGCTCGGAGGCTTGGCGGGCTGCTCCGACGCGGAACAGCAAACTACGCTCGCGGCAGCTACTAGTACCCTGCGTATCCCAGGGGACAAGGGTGGAGTACTGCAGTGATCGCTGTGACTTGCAACCGTTGCAAGGTGGTTCCAACCCACTTGCAAGGCACTTGCAGGATCCCCTAGCTGCTCCAAGTTGGGTCCGCGACTTACTCATTCTTGAGCAATGAGGCGGACCTGCAACCCTTGCAGGCGCCTTGCCAGTGGGTTGCAACCACCGTGCAACTGTTGCACTTGTTGCAAGCCGAACCGATTACTACAGTATGGGAGGAAGCGGCTGGCGGACGGAGCCACGCTTCTGCCCCGCCGCCGCGAAGCTGGGCGGCGGACAGAACCGCGCGGCACCGCCTGCGGCGCTAGCGCCAGATCGATAGGCCTCCGATAGCGAATCAGCACGTTCCTGTGCGGGGTGGGGTATCGGGCTACTATCAGCGATCAAAGGGCGATTGGGGCTCGATGCGTTCCCGCGCCTGAGCCTATCCTTCCTTCGCGCTGCCCCTGACCTCCTCCTCCCCCGAGGCGCCAGTCCGCTCCAGGGGCTCGCGCCTCCAGAAGCAACGCCCGACAAGCACGTAATCCCACCAGCCCTTTGGGCGTGAGTGGTTTAGAGGGCCTGCTCTGTTCTCAACCCCCTTCTTCCCCTTCGGGGAGGGGTTTACCCCTCCCCCTACCCCCTCCCCTGGGCCTGGAGAGGTCCCTCCGCGGGTGGCCGGCGGGGTCTTTTTCGACTCCTGGGAGGGCTAAAAAACGACACCCCTCACGAGGATTCTGGCCCCGACGGGGGGGGGAAGAAAAGTGCTCCCCCCATCTGTGATCGATCGCCCGACAGATGGCCCCAAGATTCCTCCCAGACCCCTCCCAAAGAGTCCCAAGAGGCCTCCAAGAGGCCTCCAAGAGGCCCCCAAGATGCCCCCAAGAGGCGCCCAAGAGGCCCCAAGAGGCTCCCCCGAGGCACCCAAGACGCTCCTGGAAGCCCCTGGAGCCGCCAAGAGGCCCCCAAGACGCCCCAAACGGCCTCCAAGAGGCTCCCAAGAGGCCCGAAGAGGCTCCCCCAAGGCACCCAAGACGCTCCTAGAAGCCCCTGGGGCCGCCAAGAGGCCCCGAAGACGCCCCAAAAGGCCTCCAAGAGGCTCCCAAAACGACTCACACCACGACGAGGGCCCCGAACGACTCACACCACGAGGAGCCCGAACGAGTCACACCAGGAGGAGGGGCCCGAACGACTCACACGACGACGAGGGGCCCGAACAACTCACACCACGAGAAGCCCGAACGACTCACACCAGGACGAAGAGCCCGAACGACTCACATCACGAAGAGCCCGAACGATTCACACCAGGAAGAAGGGCCCGAACGACTCACACCAGGACAAGAAACCCCAAACGACTCAAACCACGAGGAGCGCTTTCTCTCCCTCCTCCTCCGCCTCGTCCTTCTCCCGCTCCCACCACAAGGAGGATGTACGGGAGGAAGGAGGAACAGGGGAGATATGCGGGGGCAGGCGGAAACACGCCTGAAAAACACGACTGTCGGCATGCTTCGCAAGAGTTGCTGTTTTGAGATGGGCTGGTGGGGATACGCGAAGCGTAAAGAATTATCAGCCTGGCAGGATCCGGAACACCCGGCATCTAGTGGCCTGCCGCGGTGCGGGCTCCACGACGCCCCTGCCAGACGCATCAAGAACTCGCCACCGCTCGGACGTCCATTCTCCGTGATTTGTTCGGTTTCGTGCGTGTTTCTTCCGCAAGATGATCCAAGATGCTCTTCGACTGTCCTCGTCGAGAAAAATGCACACGTCCGAGCGATGACAAGAGAAGGGCACGGGCACAAGCGCTCGGAGGTCCGCGCGGAGATTCTCGGATAGGCACGGGCCCCCCTCCGTGGCACGCGGAGAGCGCCAGGGACGGCGCCGGCGGCGCCGCCGGCGACGCCACCGGAGGGGGGGGGGGCAGCGCGGATCCCAGACTCCCGCGAGGCCGTGATTTTTTAGAACGTGGGCCCGTGGAGGTCTGGACTGGACCCCTTCCTCGGGACCAATCTCCCATCCCAGCTCGTTTTCTGACGGTGACACCCGGAAAGAATACAATTATCCCGGCAAAGCAACCTAACAGCGATGTGTAGGAGCATATCTGGAAGCATTCCCCGTAAGATTCGGATGAGAACCCAGTTGTAGAATTCTGCTGTTCTCGCAGTCGTAGTCGCATTCGCGATGACAG